GTCATAAATTCGTGGTTCAAGACCACATTTACACCAGCAGCAATTGCTGAATTGGCCTCTCCTGTCCGGAGACTCTGGCAAGCCAAATGCAACGCTACCAAACTTCCAGAACATGCGGTATCAACTGTGACACTTGGGCCGTGAAGGTCAAAGAAGTACGACAACCTATTGGAAACCATTGCACGAGATTGACCACTATTAGTGCACTGGTACATTGGAACAGATTCTGGATCTCGAGTCAAAAGGTCCGTGTAATCTGTAGCGAAGGAACCGACGAAGACGGACGTTTTCGTTCCCACAATCTTCTCCAAAGGTATGCCACCTATGAAATGAGTTAATTTTGCCTTGTAATTATGGTCGATTTCTTCTTACCGTTCTCCAGTGCTTCGTACGTGCTTTCTAGAAGCAGTCGTTGTGCTGGATCGAGTGCGGCGGCCTCTTCCCTTGTCATGTTGAAGAACGGCGCGTCAAACTTGGAGATATCATCTTGAAAGAAATGCCCATATTCAACATTGTGGGACCCATGACGTTGGAAGTTAGGGTGATAGAATGCTTTGTTGTTCCATCTTGATTTCGGAATCGCTGTTCGTGATTCCTTTTTCGCGCAGATCATTTTGAAGAGGTTCTCTATGTTGTTTGCCGATCCAGGGCCTCGAAATGACATACCCACGATCGCAATAGGCATCGATCCGTCTGCTTTGCCATTTTGATCTATGCCGTTGCTAGTGCCCAGGTTTCCATTTAGAAAGGGTGCCATTATAGCAATGGAAGAGGAAAAGTTTGGGTCCGAACTACGAAAGATGTTCTATCCTAGTAGCAAAGCATACATGAGCCTGAAACTTTGGCTGAAATTACTTTGGAATAACCAAATTCATGCCTACGTGTGCGCTTTAGTAGTGTCTCCACAGGTAAATACTCCCGGGACATTTTCCGTGAGCCGCACTTAATTCAATATATTCAGAAGATCTCTCAATCACAGGGAAGTTGTTGACATGCCGATAGGCAAGAAGAACTTCAAGCATAGCTCCGGACATCAGGAAAACTCCCCGGTGAGAGGCTTTAATTTCTGATATACTTCTAGTAAGAACGAATTCCGATTCTACTTATCTATCCAAATTACGATACATATAATTATCAGCGCGTTGCCACCAACACGATCTTGCATTCCACATCGACATTCGGTTAAAAACTTCTCAACATGCATTTCAAACTCGCAGTTCTATCTACTCTCTCTGCTTTCCAAGCTGCAGCTTTGGTAACGGATAGGTCCAGTAACGACCAGAGGCCTCTTAAACCTGAAGTGGCTACCACTAAGAATCAACCTTTCCAACTCTTAGTTGACGATGGCTTTTACTTCGGCAATCCGAGCACGGATTGCAAGCATTCCTCGCAGCCTTACATTTATCAACAGTACACTCGCTTCACTGACGACTATACCTATCTTTCGACAATGCTAGCACCAGATGTTGATTTCACGGTCGTCGGTCATCATGCACTTTCTGGTCATTATCACGATTTCAAGCATTTCTACGTCAATGCCTTTTATAGGCTTGGTAGCTGCATCACGGAAGTTTATCCTGAGCTTTTCAAGCTTACTTTGTTGACTATCCACGGAGGTTGCAACGAGGAGTGGAGCGTACAAGAGATACGAGGTCAAGGACGAGCAAACAATGGTAAGTTGCTCCCTTGCCGTTCTGATCTCATTAGTTATATGGCAGCTAATGTCCAAATTTGAAAGGCCGGGATTTCGACATCATTAACGTGTGGGTCACGAAGTGGCACAATGGCCGAATTGTGAAGGTCCGCACGTACATTGATGCTGTTGAGAGCATGATCATGCTCAAGGAAAACGAAGTTTGGACGAACTCCTCTACCGAAACTGAACATACAAGCTTTCTGCCTGGTCCAAGAGGCATGCCAAATATGGCTGCTCTTGGTGAATTCTTAGCAAAGGGTGGACACTACTAAGCTCTTGTAAAACTTTCTGATCAACGCTATAGAACAACAGAGAAAGACAACATCATGCAAGAAGCTTGAAGAGATTACGGGAGTGTTTTTGTGGTGCAATCTTAGTCTAGAAGCCATTTAAAGATTGCATTTGACATAACCCTTATATATCACAGTCGTTCAAGTTAATTGATCTCTTCATTACTATTTTAGTTCTTCGGATTCCAGGTGACATAACTGTACTGATCTAGGCAATAAGAAGAGAAGATAGTATCCTCCAGTTTATATAGCTACGCTAAGTTTAGGATAAAGCATACCTACCTAAAGGCTTATTACGTAGCTTTCGTCCTATTATCTCATAAAATCATGTATGGTTCTTATTATAAGAAGGTCATTTTGGTAGTGCTTTGACTTTCAATATAAAAAGAGATCTTTTAGTACGTGATTAAATGGTTGGTGGAACTCGTGGGTGGGGAAGTCTCAGGGCCTAGCATGCGTAGAACTGACCGGCTAACTTTAAAGTCTTACCGGTGCTTTTGTAGCACCGGAATATTTTACCGTCTAAACTGTTAAGAAATATGGACCTATCTTGATATCCCGAGACACTTATCTGCCTGTACTAAAAGTAGTCCAACTTAGCCAGCCATTCTCATAAGATCTAACCACCCGAAAGTCCCCCATCTCAACGATCCAGACATTTGGACTACAGTTCAGCCTCAAAAGCAGGGATCCTTACAAATCATAACCCATACCCCATCGCATCATGTCATGCCCTGATTGTTTTCGAGGAAGTTTGCATACAAATCTGGGTCAGTCGACTAGCAAGGGTAAGGTGCTGGATGTCCACGGCCTTACATGCTACGTTGCTTTGCCTCCGGTACCGATAGCCAACAAACCAGAGTCCACGATAATATATCTTCCGGACGCTTTTGGCTGGCAATTTATCAATAACCAGCTCCTAGCAGATGCCTACGCTAAAGAAAGTGGCTTTCGGGTCATTATACCAGACATAATAAATGGGGGCCCTTTGAATCCAATTGCGATGCAGCTTATGGACGCGGTTTCAGAGCCTGTAAAAGGGTTCAATATTCGGGGATATCTCAGGAAAGGATCCGCGCTCGTTAAGTTGCTAGCGATCATTCTCCCATTCATGATGCGTTCTAGCGCATACAAAACCTATCCAAAGCTATTGGAATTCGCTCGCAAAGTCAAAGCCGAGTTGCCAGGTGGTGCGAAATTGGGTGTAAGCGGATTCTGCTGGGGAGGCCTTCCATCAACATTGCTATGCGCAGAACCATTGGCTAGTTGGTCACAGGATAGGCTTATTGATGCACATTTCGCAGCTCACCCGAGTCGACTAGATGCACCAAAAATGGTCGTTCAAGCCATCGGAAAGTTCAAGGTTCCATATTCGTTGGCTGCTGCTGCGGAAGATCCCATTCTTACGCCTGACAAGATTAAGAATCTGAGCTCTACTTTGGAATCTTCTTTTGGACCTGGGAATGGTGGGAACGGGTTTAACTATGAAATCGTGGTTTATCCTGGATGTCAACATGGTTTTGCGATACGCGCGAAGGAAGGAGACGAAGATGCCGCTATATGCGCAAAAGAAGCTCAGGCTCAAGCTATTCGATGGTTTCAGCGATGGCTGTAGCCCTAAACCTGAATCACGTGTCACATCCCATCTGCCTGGCAAAAAATCATTGCAAGGTCGTTGCCACAGCAGCTCATATGGAGTACAATGTATATCAGGGTCAATGCTCTTGCTGTTGAATTTTACAAGCTCTGCTTTGCCTGGACTCTACTTTTAGCAATTGTGAAGCTGGTTTAATTTTACAACGTAACCATAGTTTGAATCAGGGGCTAGCCTAACCTCACACCGGCAGTTCCAGGCTTATATAGGCTAAGACGATAAAAATTGGCCCGCATTAAATTTGGCGAACTTAGGACATATACTTCCCTACTCAGTCTATTTTGCCCCTCACACATCCGCATCCGCCCGATATGCTTTGGCCTCATTATCGTCCCATTTCTGCTATTGGGCCCGACAAGGAATAAACCTTCAACTTATTGTCACTTATGAAGAAGCACTTCATTGGTATTGCTCATAACAAACGTCTAAATTTTCACCTGCGCCACTAGGAGAGTCAACTTTTCCATCGTCTCTACTAGCGATGATTCGCATGCGACCACAACATCGTCCTTACTTGTTATGGTGTTATCACCAAATGCCAAACAAGTGTAGCTCTCAAGTAGTTCTCCAAGTCTGACCAAGCTGCGGCTCAAAAGAACATGCGCTAACAACCTTGCATCGTCCCCTTCTAAAGAAAGTTTCCCGAATTTCATCATACTATGCGCGCACACAGGGTACGTTGTACCCGTCTGTGTCGTGGCAGTGGCCCCTTCTGCTGATGAAGTGCTCTCATGCGGGTGTGCATCAAGTCTGTTGCCGGGAGGATCGAACTGCTTTTCTGAAAGCCCGTAAGCCTTGCATACGGCCGTGTACAAGGTAAGCAGTCGCTCCGCAGCTGTTGTTATTATCACCAGGGTGGTGAAATCGGTGCGACAGCGTTCGCAGCCAATGATTTCAGCCCACTGATCAGAGACACGTGTACTGACACGCAATATGCTTTCAAAGTCGATTTGCGTTTGTTTTTGCAACTCAGGGACTGCTTCAAAAGCAGAAAAAGAGCAACTACAGGGTTGATTCATATTGACGTTTTAAGCTGTTCAATAGCTTGCTGATTCGCGTAAGCAACTTACTAGGCTTAAATAGAAATAGAAATATTACTTGAAACCATACCTAGTTGATGATTCCTTTATTACTGAATTGAATGAAGAATGGCCCTGCCGACGTTTCTCGGAATACTTGAACCAAAACTATGTGCTACCGGAAACTAAATGTAGCCGGGAACTATACGGCCGAGCTAAGACATGTTGATCCCAAGTGCTGTCTCCAGCCAGCCAGCTTAATTCCTATCCCTGGTCTTTTTGGCCGAGATTCAGTTATAGGAAGCTTTGCCGAGCTTTTAATCACCTTGAGCATCAGACCCTTACATAGCTCTTCGATACTGTTCCTGGTCGCCTGATATTTCTACTACGATGTCTATGAAGCTGAGTTCATGAAGATTTTATGTCCGAAGAATCTGCAGCCTTGACCTAGAAACTCTCATCGGAATGATAAGATGTATAACTAATGATATTGCACTAAGCGAAATTGGTGGTTTTCCGTTTCTGCATACGCTTCTCTATTTTTACACAAGTTTCTCAATCCGCTATCTCCATCAAAAATATCACGCCACAACCCCTCATTATCGACGATAACATGCCGAACGTACCAAAATTACATACTATTCTGTATTTTAGCATTGCTTTTATACAAATAAGGCTATCTAACACTAAGCTTCAGTGGCGTAAAATATACCATTACAGAAGGCTATCACGGGAGGATATCGATGGTATTGGCAGTAGGTAAGCCTTGGGACAATCTGATGACTATGAATAGTCAATTAAAGAGCAAATAGGTGTATAGAACCATGAATCCTGTTAGCAAGAGCCCTCAAGACGGTCTCTCGGGAGGCCCATATATCCGCTCAAGCCATCTGCTGTTCGAATGATCGTGTTCGGACCTCTGTACGCATTGGTGTTAGTCGACGAAGATCTTCCTTTACAATTACTTACAGAATTTCAAAGCTAGAGGGAAATCTGTCTTCTTCTTTTTGGATCCGTAAGCCTCGTCGACGATCAGCAAGGCCTATACAATGAACGAAACCGTGGAAGAGGCGGTATTGAGCTGTGTAAACAATATCGAATCTGCGCTTGCTCGCCTTACCATGCTGATCAATATCTTCCAACACCCGACCCCGCTGCAGGCTGTCTGAAGGAAGTTTTACAGAGCAACCGTAGAGGAATAGGTGGATTTGTTGTGTTTCAAATTCTTTACGAACACATAATATTTTAGCACAGTAATATAGCAACGACGATCATATCTAAAGTGGGGTTTAGCTCTGGCAATTAGGCCCCATGTAACCAACCGTAAACATGTTATGAATGAGGGGATGTCACTGTACATTTGCACTCACTACCGCCTTGAGCAGCGCTCATCGATACTACTCATAATGCTTGATTAACTGTCACCTTCAATATGCTGAAGGTGGGTCGATTGCAGCGCAATTAATTACACAAGCTCACGCCTTACCCAGTTAAGAGCTATCGTACTATAGCTGTGATAGCAAATGCAGTAAAAAGGATGATTAGCGAACATTATGCTAGATTCGCCACTAACCAAGATGATGCTTCAGTTAGCTTGTCTGGAAACAACAGCTCATTGGAAGGTGATGGATTAAGCACCACAAGTACGGAGTGATGCATCTAGCCATGGCGCGGAAGCGGACTACGTACGCCCGGTTGCCCGCTGTTCCGCGCAGTTCCGCTTTTACCGTTATCAGCAAATGCGCAGTGATCCAGCCATAGCTCGGGAGTAACCCACGCATAATCCCACTTTTAGTGTCACTGATTGAGACTACGATGGTGGATAATTATACAGAACTGGTGGTAGATCGCTCCTTGTTGCAAGGAACCCCGTATAAGCTTGCGTAAGCTTTCTTATATGCTAGACTAGTAAGTTTCATACTAGAGGTACGGACTTAGGGCCTGTCCAGCAAATCTATTCCACTTCCCCCTCTACTTACTATTATATTCTTAAATCTTTTATATATTTACTATAGCTACTAGATTTATAATATATTACTAGGTTAAAAGTTTCCTGAGTTAGCTAAAGCCCTACTATTACTAAAACTTAACGCCTATAATAATACTAGTGATATCTTACTTAAAACTATATATAACTTATTTCTTGAATATTAAGTATTTTTATAAATACTAGTACTTTATTTATTATCTATATATAGCTCTATAAGCTGTTACATAGTTAAGCTTTAAGTTAATAAGCGACTCTATACTCTTTCTTAGTATCTATTACTCGTTAGTTTTTGTAAGACGTTAAGGGTTATTAGGCACGGGTAGAGTAAAACAATAGCAGTCTTGAGTAAACGGTCTGTCTTTTACGTAGACGAACAGCTACTAGGCTTAGGTAGTATTCTCCGTGCTTATATCTACTTTGATAAGTCAGATATGACTAAGATAGGCTAACAAGGGTCAGATTGGCCCTAGATACTGCAAGGTGGCCCAAGGAGGGTGAGCTCCTGACAGGTTTTAATATATAGTTAAAGCTATTTATCTATTCTTAACTTTTACTATAGTTATTATACTAGATATAGGACTTGTTTATATATTATTTTATCTACTACTAAAGATACTTTTTAGAGTTAAGATCTAATAAATACGCTAACTAATTAAGTATCATCATATAGCTACTATATTTAGTATTAGTATCTTTTTATATTATTTTCACTATACTATATTAATCTAATTTATATTTATCTTACTATATAGCTTACTATACCATTTATATAATACTTTTTTACTTATAGTTACTTTTATAATTATATAAGTCTTTTATTTTTCTTTTAAATTTCAAAAGTATCAATTTTATTCTTAGTAACTACTTTTCTAATTAGAGTATCTATCAAAGAATTAAATAATATAGTAGTTCTAAAGAAAACTTCTATTGTTACACGGGGTTGGGATCTATACTTCTCTTGCCGGGTCCCACACTAAGGCCGGTGAGCTTTACGCTA